TTAATAGGAAAAAGTAGAAAAACAAATATTTTCAATTTCTAAGTCATGAATTGATTGCTTGCTCGGGGAACACACACACGTGCGCGAGCAAATGCTATTTACTAAGTTGATGCGGTGGTGTGTTTTTCACTAACGTATTTAACGAATATAAAGAGTTTTAATAATTCTTAGGCGCCACCATCGCAGGAGAAGAGAACATCGGTAATTTGTTCGAGTCATGGCAGATATTCAGAGTTTTCCCCTTAAGGGCGTCAATTGCTAAGCTTTGTTCCTCTTCAGTTAATCATTATTAGGGGCTGCACTTCATGTTCGACTGTAGCCGTTGCAGCTTAAACGTAGTACCGTAAGATCATCAACATCATCACTTCGTATTGCCACAGTGCAGTCTTCACCTTTGCACGCGACACTATTTGAAAGAAATACGTAATTTGGTTGCTTTTGCAAAGAAACCTCCTTCCTTCCTTCCTAATGGAATATCTTCATTGAAAAGTGCCCATCACTAGGTAAACATTTTGCCAACTTTTCGAGTGCCTTTTGAGTGAGTCGAAACAGTTTTGGGCCGGGTAAATAAGTCATTATTATTAGCTCATTCTGGTTCTGTCCTGCTGAAGTTCACTGGGCGAACTTTGTCACACACGGTTATAAGTCATCACGTTGGAATATCGCGATATCTGTACATTTGATATATAGAGCAAATTTTTTATGAACTTGACTTTACTGGTTGTTGTTAGTAGTGATCCCTACTAAAAGTTTTACAGCGGAGAGCGCAGCGGATATTCGATTCTATTGTTTCTATTAATGATTAGCTTAGCCTAAAACATGATTATTTACGCTTTGGATATCGCATCGTTTCTGCATCGTTCAACATCCGACCTCATCCGTCAGCACTATGCTTCGAATATAAGCAGTGAAAGTAACGGTTGCCGTGTCTCGCTTTTCAAAGACCAAAAAAAAAAAAAAAAAAAACTGTTACGACCACTGCAACGGAACAAGTTACTCTACGTAAAGCACGAAGCTTGCAGATAATACCCTCATATGGCAAAGTAACTGTTTTGCAAACGCTAACAGCGGAAGTAATGCTATCGTTTTGTCGCATATTCATCCCATATATGAACTTGTGGTATATCTACGAGATTCGAATTTTTTCAAAAGGTTTTTAATACCACGTACTTATTAGTGCAAGCTACTAAAACAAATTTTATTAAAAACTTCCTGTATGCAACTGATGACTCTTTCGAAAATTCAACTCGAAATGAGGGCACGTCTACGAATGTACATCTTATAAATCATGACCAACCAATCAATCTATACTCATACACACACACACACACACACACACACACAGAAATATTACTTTCTCAGGTAAGATGAGAATAACACATTTAAGCCTATGATGAGCTACCTATCTGTGGATATCTAAATATCGGTCATCCATTCACTTCAAAATCATCTCAAACTCTCATGTCCAGTTCGATACGAGTATTATTTTATCTTTACATATTAGTCTGGTTATAAAGGCCTTCGCAACTTGCAACGATGTATGGAAAAATGCCATCAAGTTCTGTTTTTAATTGATTTTTAAATTGAACACGCTAGCAACAACAACAACAAATCGAAATAATCAAAAATGTCGTAACAGTTTCGACAATAATTTATTAATCAAAAATTTTACAAATTAATATTAATCAACCAGGGTCAACAGAAATTTACGCACGATCCATTCACGTACCTATAATAAACACAAACCCTTAACGTTGCCCACATATATCATATCATATCATATTTACGTTTTGTAGCGGACAAACAAGGTTTCTTACTTGTTTTATATTCTTTCGCAATAACCAGTTCATCAATGAAAGCGAAATCGTATAAAAACGATTTAGTGAAGAAAAAAAAAATAAAAATAAATAAATAAATAAAAAAAACGTTGACTTCAATCATTACACTGAAATTTATGACTGTTATCTACGTAACCGCTTATATATGTGTATCCGCACGCACAATTTTCCAATAGTTTATACAAAAAAAAAAATATATATATATATATAAAAATGCAGTCATTGACAATTATAATCGATGGACAACAGATGTATTATGCAAAAGTGTTTTATGCTTTTCATAATTTATGTTCTAGACACGTATTAAATATAGTTTGTATTTCTTTGGCAACTGTCGATTATTGCTGTTTCAACTTTCATATCCAACTCATAAACGACGCGATTATGTCAATTTTTCTACTCTGTTTGCAATATTTGGAAGCACAGTAAACGTAAAAAAAATATTCTTAATATTAGGTATTTGCGAAAATTTTGATCAGCGACTTTTACAAATAAAAATGATAAAGAAATGGAAAATACCAGCGTACATAACCGTTGAATTCGACGAGTTTTTGACCTTCCTCTACATAAAATAGCACTTTTCCATTTAATATTATTAATTTATTCAGCGGACGCCGGCACTAACCAGAAAGCGATTAAAATTCTTCTTCTTCAAAATTCTTTACTTTTGTTGTTTATTTGAAGAAATCTGCTGCCGAAGCACACTAAACATGTTCAGAGGCTTATGGCGATGCTGCTCCACCATATTTCAATTATCGGTTTTCTTTTCATCACGAACGAATTAACTGAAAATGCCATTTTTTCGTCACTTGTTGTCCAAAATACGCTGTTCGAGCTCAAACGGAGTGTTCTGCCACATCCAGTGTACTCAACAGACAGTACGCCTCCTGATTAGCGCTTGTTCAGATCCGTGGAGCAAGGCCTGTTTGGCACGCGACTCAGCAAAGTTGAAGAAATGAGAAGATGGGTCGGTGGGTGGGGGATCGCTGCCAATCAATACAAGTTCTTTCGACATGATGTCGCCATATTGACAAAAATATTATAAAATGTTGTAAAAAATTATGGAAAATATTTTGATTATTGTACGTTGCACCAATTTTCTACAATAAATGTCTTTTTCTAGTAAAAAATGGTCAACATTTTCGCAACCACCTAATATACAAAAACTACTCAATTGAATTCCACACGACAGATCTGAAAAATGGATTGTATCCGCGTATAACGCAATTACCAACAATCCCTAAGATTGGTCCAAAGACAAAGTTTCCTTGAACATGCTTGGAAGATCCAAGATGTGTCACTCGAATAACTTGCTTGCGAGTTGCAGATCCTCGGCCAATTCGTATTTTCGACATAGTCGAGTAATCCGATTTTCGTGTATTGATTAAACAATGTTTCATGACTTGAAATTATAAAGATCAAAACTTTTCTATCGGAAATTTCGCTCACTTTAAACGATGTCGTATGAAAACCGATAATGTTATGAGAGCAGTGGACGGCAGACAGAAGGGACACCAAAAAATTAAAAAAAGAAAAAATCAGAAGACATTTTAACGATATCAGTATACACGAGGTATATGAATGGATGAAACAACATAGCGTGTCATAAGTCAACGATTGCAAAAACAAAATTGCTTACAATCTGTCCACAGAAAACATTCTATAGAAAAGCTAAAAGAGCTAAGTGCCCTATACCGCCCTTTAGCTATTCATATAATCGCGTTTCAGAGTTTAAAGCTTTTTTTGGCCAGCGATCGATCGACTTTCATTCATGAAGAATTTGTAACCATTATGGTAACTCTGACGCGTACTTCGGGATATTGCAAATGGAAGGTCAAAGCTAATGCATCTCTACAGATCAGTGGTGGATGTAAAAACTGAAAGAAAAACATATGGAAATTGCGGCTAAATATTCGCAGGGTAAACGGAAAGATAGGCGTGATGTATACATAAAATTATAAGATTACTATATGGTGACAATAAAGCTCGAAGAATTTTCGTAGATGATAATTTTCTAACATTGTCTTCATTGTATTGATGCTTTTATCTTTGAATGATCAAAAAAGACGAACAAAAGTCATAAAACATCGAATTCAACAATTTGTATACCGCATATGTCTATTATTCCAGACAGACTACCAATAGCCGTAAGCTTTACTACCTCTTTAGAAGTTCATTTCGAACCACTGAACTTTGATTCGATATTTTTGTAAACAGCTTTTGCGAATAAACTAACCGGCCCGTAGATACCCATCTTAATACCAGCTATTAAAACAAAGACTTTGTTGTTGGTGGTAAGAATAAAAGAAGAACGGTTAATTCCCGACTATCAAGAAAAGAAGACAAAGAGAATCAACATAGCGGAAAACGACGTGAAATACTTTTGCTTACGTTCTCCTTTAATATCCACATCAAATCGATTCAATATAAAAAAATTGCAGGTGTTTCAATTAATGTGGGGATGGTATCGACATTCCCATTCCAATCTTGCATAGAAATTATAATTTTTCGACTAAATCTATGTGTTTCAACGTTTAATTCTGTTTTTTTCTTCATTTGTGCTTGAATAAATTATCTCCGGATCATAAAAATATCGGGAATATTGCGAAATAGCCTAACGCTTTAAAGGCAGCTAAGCGAAAGGGCTTGAGACGATAAATGTGAAATTGTAAAAATGAATTTTATATTTGAATTGTATTTATTTATTCATTGTTTTTAAGAAGACGTAAAGACCTATATTTATAATTCTTTTCTATTTACGTACTTCATGCAATATTTGACTGATTAGAGTGTCAGAGGATTTTATTCCTTCTTCGACGATTCGTAGAAAAGCAGACTTAGAGACAACTCCTATTTAATGCACACGCACGCATACTAACACGTGCCAGTGTATACACATAAAATAGCAGACCCATTAGAATTCTAAGACGGGCGAAATGAGCGGACAAAGACAAAGGCAAAGAGGCTAACCAAAGGAAAACAATGTGACTAGCATTTACACATGTAACGAAAAGCACTAAAAACTTAACTAATAGATAAGCATATATACGTGCATTAAGAGATGAATAATGCTGGATCATTTTTTTCCCTGTTAAAGTTCATTTAAATAAAAGTAAAAAAAAGAAAGAGAGAAGTGAAGATAGAGAGAGAACGAAAACTAACCTTTAAGATTTGATTTTTGCGAAAACTAAGTTCATCATCCGCTGTAGCTGAGAAATCGTGTTTGGCAATTGCTTCCATTCTGTTAAAGTTGGTGTATTTAAAGTTATCGTTGTTGTTGTTGTTGCTGCTCTTGCTGTTATTGTGGTGTAGGTACGTGTATGCTCCGTTTAATCACCCGTAATAATGTTGAACATAAATTGAAGTCTCGGATGCGGAATTTTCTTGTATTTCGTTTTATTATCTCTTTTGTTTTTAATTTGCTTTATCGTATGTTTTCTGTTTTATAAATAGATTATTCAATATTTATATATTTTATTAAACACCTTAAAATTCAAAACGACTTCATTTTTTCAGTTTCTCTTTTTGGAGAATTATTCTATAGACACTTTCAAGTTCCACCCGAAACGAACTTTTCTTTCTTTTTGCAGAAATTTAAAAATAAATGTACATAATATAATAAAACAAAAAAATCTTGTCTCTATAACCACCAGCGAATTACTACGTACGTATTACGTTGTAAAACAAATCTATACGAGTATAAAATAAACATCTAACTGGAGAGAAAAATTTCTGTCTGCACAGCGTTGCTGCGAAAAAGAATTTCTGTACATTTCCACTGCAGTAATTTGCAGTAATCAATTAGTCGGCTATATCCTTTAATTTTAAAGTAAGTCGATATGTACCAGTATCGACGTAAATAGGCATTTTCTTCTAACATTAAGCATGTTTTCAAAAAAAAAAAACGAAATGCAGAAACCGACCAATGTAACTTTATATTATTACAACACCAAATTATGCTCGTCTCGGATGAGAGCACTAGCGTAATTTCTGATTTGAAAAGTTGTTCTTATTTTGATAGATTATGTTTTTCTATACATCGTAGATTAGCAACAAATATCCAGTATAAACTTGCACTGCTTTTTTATGTATTAGACTATCGCCCTTACTCAAAACGTAATACGACTCTATATATTATTGCCTAATACATGCCCATACTTTTTCACTTGAGTATTCCTTAAGTAGTATTAAGTAGTATCAGCAGAGTGTTATAAAAGAACACAAACCTATGTAATTTCTCACTTTAGTCAACAAATCTTTTGTTTGATTATTCTTGCTACTGCGAAAAAGATTAGAAACTGTTGGTCAAGAAATAAAAGTACTGCAACGCTATGCGTATTTATGAGTCATATTCTGAAATGATCAACGCTGACAATTAATACTCATGGAAACTGCACTTAAAACATATATAATCTTTTCAAGATATGATATATATATATATGCAGTTTTCATCGGTATTAATTGCCATTCTTGATCATTTTAGATGTAAATTAAAAATTTCGAATATGCATAATTCTCCTTCTTTAATGCAAGCTAGTAATGAATACGAAGAAATAGATTTTCTCAAAAAAAACTTCCCTATTTTTATGTTACAACGTAATAACCCAAATTTTCAGCATTTTCTTACATCATGAACTGACAAACACTCGACGCGCGTATTCGCATACCAGCTCGGTAGTTGTCATTTCTGCATTCTACAAAATCGCAACTTAATGTTTCCAATACAAAAATTGCCTTATGAAATACGTTGTCACGAAGCGTATATGATCAGCAGTATCTTATTTCCAATAGCAGTATCGGGATATAAATCTTAGATATGTGACAAAACGCACTCCATGTTTGAAGAGCATTGCCATACGTAAATTCAATAAGGTTCAACAATAGAGTTCGTAAGTTTTAGCACATAAATTCTGTCCCTATGAGACGTCTAGAGTCCTTAATAATCTCCCCTTCAATACTTATGGTAACGACGCTTTTTATTTTTACATATTTGTATGTATACATGTACTTTATACCCCAAATACAACATTCGTTGAACTGCTAATAGGTATTTTTTACAAGTCAATATATATTCGCTAAAATTTGGATGCTGCTGCGAGTGTTTTATGTTTTTCGTCGTTTGTAAATTAATTTTTTCTGGAAAAATTTTCTAATTTGTAAAATAAAAAGAGAGCGCTTCAAGTCAATAATGTTAGGTAAAAGTAGACAGCTATGGGCAAGCAAGTACATTGGCAATTATTTTTCTAGATCACATTTAAGTAAATATTAAAAGTTCTCACGGTTAAAATTACTTATTAAAAAGTAAAATTGAAACAATAAGAAAGCAAAATAATTATAAGATATACGTAAACGCTGCTGCGTGCATAACTTCTACTTCTGCTTTGTATTCTTGTTGCTAAAGGGCTGGGGGCGGCAAAGCAAATACGTGTATTAATATGCACCGACCAACGATGAAGAAAGGTGCAACGAACTACGGACTGAAAACTACCAAAGTTCTATATAAAATTTCCTTACAAATTATTTATAATACTACAAAATATTTAATTTTATAGTCGCCAAAAATTCACAAGTTTAAAAAAAAAAAAACTTTTACACATATATCACTTCTTTGAGCGAAAACATATCACATTTTAAAAAAAATGTTGACACCTTTTTAATTTTAGTTTCTTTTAAAAGGACTTTCTTTAAATTTTAATGAATTTTCCACACTTTATCCGAGGAACCACTTTTTCTCCGCACAAAAGCCTCGACTCTCACACAAACTATTAAAATCAACAAGACAAAGATGCCAGTAGAGAAAATTTTGTTGCTACCATCCAGTAATGAAACTATCTCTACGAAAGTGGATACCAAATCATAACAAAACAGACAGAAGAGATATAAAAAAATCATAAACATAGGGTAGCTAAGGTAAAATAAGAAACATTGGTGCAGTTTTTCACAATATATTCCCTGTATATTATTTCATTCTTACATACGACAACTCTCTTTTTTTCAGGCAAGGAAGCACGAAATAATGAAACAGAAACATTGCCAACAAATGATATTTGGCTTTGCTTGTGAAGCTAAACAACACGCAAGAAAAAAAATGAATGAACTTATTTCTAAAATTATTTATAAAAAGATAGTCTAAGCAATTCAAGAATCCACACGTTACCAAGTGCTTGCATGTATCTCTATTTAAAGCAACTCTTGAATACTCGTCGCTAGTTTGGCTTCCTAGTTATAGATGTCATGTTGATCTCTTGGAGTCTGTTCAACTGGACTTCTTGATGTTCGCTTTGCGAAGTTTGGCATCGGATCCCGCCCTTCCTCTTCCACCGTATAATAATAGATTAAAGCTCACTGATTTGCCTACCGCTGAAAAAAGACGTGAAATGTTGGGTGTAACCTTCCTCTTTAAGCTAATGAACGGTTTTATTACGGCGTATTGGTATTCACATCTGTGCATTTTGTGCGTTAATAAGGTTAAAGTCGTTATATTGCATAGCTAACTGCTAATCATTTTTTAGTCTTGTACAAATACTGGTAAATTGAATCAAAATATTCCTTAGTATCTGATTGTTTTTCATTTGTATATCCCGGTATCCTAATTTAAGGCTTAGATGAATTTTGTTGTATATTATATGTTAATCTCATATTTATTTTTATTTATTTTTTCCTTTGTACTACAATTTGGGTTCTTTTGTAGCTTACATTCGACTAATGACTTGTTCTGTAGCGGAATTTAATTAAATACAAAAATAAATAAATAAATCACATAATGTCACGTCACAAACATTTTTGTTATATCGGTAGAAGGGTCGTTTTGATTTGTTGAATTTTTGTTATAATTGTAGAGGCTTCGTTTCGATTGGTTGAATTTTTGTTAACATTTTCATTGTTTTCACGTGTTTATTTGTTTGCATTCTAAGGAGTTCGCCGTTATTTTATTGTTGCATTTTACACTTATTCTTAGTTTGTTATTGTTATTAAACAAACCAAGGCATGCTCTGGATAGAACAAATCTTACAATACATTAAATATTTTATTTCGATATTAGTATCCCTACAGTGGAAAGATCATCAACAACGCAACTCAGCGGTACCAAATATACATACGATTTCTTCGCTAGTAAACGCGTCAATACTTAATCGTAGGCGGGTTCCAATAGTACGAAAGAGAAATCTCTTGAAAAAACACAATTATTAGGTGCTTGCATTCGTTTTGATCATTTTTTCATTTGAAAAAGGCATTTATTGAGAAAAACTGATACAATATATTTTAGTCAAAATATTTTCTACAATATTTTATCAGCTTTCTGGCAACATAGCGATACCTTGTCGAAAGAACTTATGTTGGTTTAGCAGCTGTTCAACCGTCGATCCAGTTTTGCACTTCTTCAGCATTTCAAAATCGCGTACCAGCCAAGCCATGCTTAACAAATGGTAATCGAAAGGCGTCATGTCGGCCGAGTACGCTAGGTGCAGCAGAATTTCTCATTTGAGCTGCAGCAGTTTATCCTTGACAACTTTTGCATCGTGTGGCCGAGCGCTGCCGTGTAAAATGATAACTTTGCCTCTACTAACCGCTATTGCTTGTCTTCTTTCCAACAATGCATCGTTCAATTTTGTAAATTGATGTCGATAAACATCTGCAGTAACAGTTTCATTCGGTTTTAGCAACTTGAAACACACGTCTTTGCTGATCAAATCATTATTATTATTAAATACGTGGACAAGACGTACGTCACCATCTTTGGATCGGACCATGTCTGGCGGAGCAAAATGCTTGCCAAATACTTAGTGTCTGATTCTGCAGATAGTCTCACATTCACATACATCATGATGGGACGTTTCACTCGTTTCTTGACGGAATCTGCATGAATCCGCGAAAATGTTTTTCAGATGGTGCCTAAAAGAATTATGATCCGTGTAGAAGCTGGTAGCTAAACGCAGGTCGCTTCTTGATAGTTCTAGTCGTTTGTGTGCCCTACATTTGTGCCCTACAGATTTTATGAATCTTTTTGCCGGCGGTTGTTCATTGCCTCCAGTCCGCTTTATTCCTTGCCCATTGCGATACCAGCCTGCCAATGTGACTTTTTAGCACACCACAGAACGGTTTAGGACCTACCAAGGCCCCTCGGGCTCGCTAGTAGCTAGATAATCAGCCCTCTCAGTGCCCACAAAGACCCGGATGTCCAAGCACCCAAATGAGGTGCACATCATTTCCCCTGTCTAGCTCATTCAGTGTTTTAGGGCACTCCAACACAAGAATGTTATCATCCGCCACCTTAAGGACTCTAGGGCGGTTTGGTTTTTGCCAAGTATATGTAGATTTGCTCTCTACTGCACTGCCTTCTTAAGCATTCAGACCCACACGATTGCGTAGACCTCTGCTCGGAATATGGAGAGATTATGTCCCAATGGAATGGACTTCTTGAAACTCACACCACAGTCACCAGCAAGGGTATTGCCGCTTTCCAAGTTTGAACCGTCGCTTTTGATTCCAGCCCGAGTTCAAAAGCTTCCCCGTGCCAGTCCGTTCTCAGCGGTATTGTCGCTCTGAACAGATAAGAGTACTACCTTTACAACACAATGGTCCGGTATATTGACAAAAGGTTCGTCCATAAAGTTTTCCAATATCTCTAGGCGTCCCTTGAGATTACACGGTTTTACTCTGTCCTAATTCGATAACCTAAGTGCACTCAGGCAAGCCTTTTTCTCTACAGCAATAGGAAGAGGTGTGACGGCCAGCAGCGCCTGTAGGGCATTCAAGGCGTAAGATGTCATCGCCCCGGTAATGCCAATGCAAGCGAGACGTTGAGTTTTATTTAATGTCATCGCCGTCGTTTTTGCTTCACCCTAGGGCGCCCGACCAAAGCAGCGTATGTTAGCATAGAGAGGATTATGGTAGTATAACATCAGTAAATCATTTTTGGGCTTCTACCCCATATTTTGCCGTAAAGGCAAGCAAAAAGTGCTCTGGTCGACTTTTCTGTATGCCGTCTTAAATGAGGATTTCCGGTTAAGCCTCTGTCAAAGTAGACACCCAGCTATGTCACTTCATTTGAATAGTCAAGAATCACATCCCGCAAATTGATGTTTTCCAATACTAATTTCCTCTTTTTCGAGAAAGGCACCAGGAAAGTTTTTTGCGGTGATAACACCATACGCACAGCAAAACTTTATGGCCATGAATATTTCACTTCGGTGTCGACGTGGATAGCTCTCGTGGAATAACCCATGACTTTTTGTCCTTGAAACTGTCGTAGTACAGCCAGTTTTCATCACCACTGACAATTCGCTCCAGAAAACTCTTTTTGTTTTGTCTGGCAACCAATAAAGTTCAAATGGTTCAGAATGGCTATTTCACTCAATTCGTATGATAGCCATTTCCCTCCTTTTGGATCTTCCCCATCGCATGATACATCAGCTAATCTGTTCGAAAGTTCTTCGAGAGTTTGAGATGGGTTTTCATACAATAATTCTTGCAATTTGTACAATTTTCATTATTAATATAAACAGTGGTATATATCAATATACGCAATGAATATATAATTCGTAATGTAAATGTTGGATAATAGAATATGTAAACGAGGTTCGCTGACTTTGCCATATGCATTGTTTTATACAAATCTTGCATATTTTTGAATTGTTTTGAACGCTTGACAGACTTGGGTGCAAAGAGGAATTTCAGTCCACTTTGCATATTTTTCAGCAGCAATATCACGGAGACCTAAGAAGTATATTAGAGTTACTACTAAGTTACTACTAAGTTAATTCAAAACCTTGCAAAAAGTGCTGTATTAGGAACTTTCCAGACGATCGAATATATGGCTTCAAAACGTGTGCTCTTCTCTTTGTGAGTTTTTTGATAAACAGTTAGAATTGATTCTCTCACATTCGGTCTAACATTTTTATATATTTAATAAGACAAATGAAACATAATTCTGGACTGCAATGATGTCAATCGTCACAACCTAAATATATATATGCAAAGCTTAAGAGATGGTAGCTTCTCTATCCATTATTACAGTCGATAATTACGCGGAAATCATTTTATTATTACATGAACATGCCGTTCAAATACTAATCCACGGATTAAACGAGTATTGCAGGCAATTACTTTGCAGTGTTGTTATTGAAAATTCATGGAATAAATGCGTAAGCAATTATAAATACGTATCGTAACATTACAATTGTGTTGAACTTCTTATTAATAATTTATTTAATTTCACCGCTCTTATCCTCCCTTTTACTCGATAATGAGGAAGAAATACCGATTGCATTTGAACTAATTAAAAATTAATTTAATGAAAATCAGTTTTGTTTTATTTGAAATCATGGTCAATAGCTTTTATAAATATTGCTTTTATAGTTTCAAAGTATATCAGAAATTTGAATACAGTAAAAGCTCCTTATTCGCGGGGTATAGGTTGCATAAAAATGCCGCGAATACAGAAACCGTGAATACGGAATGATAGTTTATATGGGATTATAATAGATACGTTCCTAGGTGACAAAATAATAAAAAAAAAAAAAATATATAAAAAAAAAATCAATTTAATTGAAGTTTTTTAACGTTTTGGTTAATTATCTTAAGGCTTAGGCAAGAAGAATTTTGTAAGTTTCTCTTGCTTGGCAGTTTTTAAAAACTCAGACTGATGCGCAGCAGTCGCATTAGCAATTTGTCCTCTTCAAAATAAGACTTCGTTCCATAGACGGATCAATGTTCATAAAGAAATCGCGAAGCTCATTTGCCATTCTCAAACCTTCACTAAGACTTTTCAAATTAAATGTCACGTTTCCAGTGCTTGTTGAAGCCTCTTCTTCAATGGGCGGTGAATTTAACATTTCCTCCAAGTCGGTTTCAGTCAAATCTTCATCTTGCGATTCAAGCAATTCCTGAATGTCCTATTCCATTCACGATTTCGGCTATGTTTGCAGTCAAAGTTGAACTTGCACAGATTCTTCGTCATTTTTCGCAGTCAGAGCAAGCCACAGCTTTTTCCAGCATGACGTCACTGTGTGTGGCTTCACTTCTTCCAATGATTCTTTTATGCATTTGCTATTGAAATTTTGCTATTGAAATCTTCATCAAATTTCTTCCTGCATTCCATAACATTCATAACGGGATTACATTCCATTTTATCCAATATGATTTTGAAGCAAAGCCGTCCTGTTGAAAGGTAAAAATGTCACTTTCATGTTTGCATGCACAGTTTCAAGTTCGCGAGGATGATCTGGTGCATTGTTCAAAACTAGAAGTCCTTTCAAATCTAACTTCTGTTTTTTTAAATAAATTTCAACTTCAGAAACAAAACAATTCCGGAACCAGTCACAAAAAATCCGCGAATAAAGAAATTTATAGTCGCGAATGTGGGAATTGGTTCGCATTTTTTTAATCCGCGAATAGTGAAACCGCGAATAAAGGAAGTGCGAATAAGGAGCTTTTACCGTATTTATCGTTTTAATAAAGCTTTTATTAATTTTAAATTAGCAACGTTGGGATTTCCAATCTGAACTTTTTAGTGACCATACTAATCAATATTGTTTCTGAATGCTGACTAAAATTTATTAGAATTTTTGCTTACTCTTGGGGATTTTGAACACGTAGAATCCACGCATAGACAAATCTAGCTAAGCCGAATGAAAAATCTATAGCGTTTAACGTAAATGATATAAAAAAGTCTAGGAAATTTCTATTGTAAAAACTATTAACTAAACCGATCACAACGAATTGTAGGTTTTCAATAAGAACCCTCAGTGGCCACCGACATCCCGAGCGATTTCGAGCGATTTTCAAAAAAAAAAAAACTCAAATAAATGTTTTTTTGGCAAGCGTGGAAACATGGCCGGCAAGTGCTCATGTTTTTTGTGCTTGGGGTTATTTTAACGATTTGCCACATTCGTCGTTTAATTCATCTTGATTGTTTGGTTCATCACCCGTTTCCATATTATTCCAAATAATTGACGACAGCTCAAAAGGGTTCACATTCTTTTGATGTACAGTATAGAAACAAGATGGTGATCAACTCATCGATAATTGCCATTGCTATTTCATTACTTTTATCGACTACGTTTCGTGTACGATCTCGTATATCTCTGTCGTTCTTCATTTTTAGGAAAATAATGGCCTTCAGGAGCACTGCTTTACTGGCTGGGCCTTTCCATTCATAAATGTTATGCCGTATCTCGCATAGGCACCACCGTTAAAATATTTAACGATCCGTGCTTTTATTTATGGCCATAAAAAAGTGAAGGGGATAAAATTTATCTTCCACCATTGAGTTCACTAAAAGGTTTTATTGAGGAAAACTAATCCGTCACGTTGCGACGCCCACCGTGATAAATTTACAATTGACGCACATACGTTGTCGCCTTTTACTCTCCAAGTTCTTTTTTTTTAATACCCATATATATATAACTTATGATCTGTTTATTACGAACGTATTTTTAAGTACGTCTATGATCAAATTATATCCAGTTTTAAAATTAACATGTAACAAGTTGTATTATTCCAACTCTAATATGCGGCCATTAGCTCTAGATTACAAATCAAGGGTTAATTTAATATACTTAAAATCCTGATCGAATTCCATGAAGTTAAAAGTTGTAATCAGTCTGAACCGACGTGAAGTCCAATAAAATTACGTGAAAAGCGTGAAACTAAGACAAAGATGTTAAAGTTTCTTTTAACAAAAGCTTTAAAGGCTTACTGATTAGTAATATTTGAAATAGTTCGTTGCCAAGCAATCTATTATTATTATTACTATTATTATTAATTCAGCCGCATAATACATTCTAAGAATAAAGTCTTAATGCTTTAGCAACTAACGCTATCGGCTTTATTTAAAGCTCTACCGCACTTGAGATTTGACTCCACATTGAAGAAAAAGCAGTCGGAAAAGCTAAGTTGGTATAGAAACCGAAATGTAAAACGGTGCCATTAAATTTGCGTTTACTGTAATTTTATTATTCCTACTTGATTAAGGTGACCAAATAAGTTAGTATAATAAGTAAAAGAATTTTTATGCAGCTATACCGAAAGAGAAGAAGAAATATATTAGATGGTCACTTTAGCCTATAAATGGCATGCGCCGAATGATAAAATTGTCAACTTTATTAAAAATACATAGTAAATACAGTAAACAAGTTTAAATTACACAAAAGAAACTTAATATAAATTAAAGGTAAATGCTCTTCTTCAGCATCTTCGTGTTTTAGGAGTGAGAAAAGATACGCAAGTTACTCATTTGATCGTAATCGTTTTAGTGCACTTTATAAGAAAATTTTGGCGTGTTTACTTCACGACGGTGTACTTGTCTCTCTGCCTTAGTAAACACTTAAGAAAAATAAAAACAGCCATTCGCTGTCTTAATAAATAAAATTGCAACAAAGGGAAACAAAGTCTTTTTTGTTGAACCACTACTTCTTCACTAAGTCTGCGAAACCAAAATTGGAAAAGCGAATTATACCTGATCAGGATTGTATTCAAATCCACCTTTTGGAACAAAATCGTGCTATGAGAAAAATTAAAACTGTTCGTTTTTTACGAATATTCAAGTTTAGATAATCATTTCAGATTTTTGTCTCAGCTTTTCGTAAAACCAGCAGGGAGCACAAAACAGGCAGCATTGTAGCGCTAAATCAAAATCCTATATTGATCAAGTATTAGTAATATTTTGCAGAAATCGGAGAATCACCAATAATTAAAAAATTACAAAAATTTCGATTAAAGATTAACTTGTAGAGAGATCATCTAAAGGCATTACAATAACACTCGCAGCAAAGACCAAAAGAACTATATGCTTTGCGAGGACATTTTAAACATGCCCGTGCCGCCTCTAGCGGCCGAAACTGTGTTATGGTTTGAATTCCTATTGGATCCGACTTTGATAACCAAACACTTAAAGAAAGTTAATCCGGGTAAATATTGAATTAAGAGAAAAATATTTTAATAATATTAAAATTTTATGTAAACTAGAGCCGTCTGCTTTGGAATTGATGTCGCAATTTATATCCATGACCCCGGATACAATTCTGCCACAACAATTCAATGTAACCCCTACTAGTGAGTCTTTAGCGGCTGTCTCAAGTTCATCAACACCGGTTCCATCAAATGAGGGGTTGTTTTTAACCCATAAGCAAATGGCCTTAAAGGTGTTGGCTTTAAAAGTGGCTACATGGCTAAAATGGAATTTAGATGTTTTGGAGAAAAATTTGCCGATACCCAAGCAGTTATTTTTGCTAAGGGACTTATGTACATTGAGTTTCGGCAAAAAAGTTGGCATCCCCCTAAGTGCAGATTTTCAAACGAAAATTAGTAAGTACAGCTTCTAGAAAAAATCGAAAAAAGTTTTTCTACAATGTATCTACAGCTAACGAAGGTAATGAAAAAGCAGCACGTTTCGCTTTAACTTTCTATCATCGTTGGGTGCTGCGATTGCAAATACTCAAAGATATAGCTTTAAAATCTGCTCGACCAAGCCTGGGTAATATGTAGGTTTTAAACAAGCTTCGTTTATTAAAAAACGCTGAATTTCATTCTTTTTTAGGTTCGTTCCGTTGGAACCCATGCATCAATTCTTTGCTCCAGAAATACCGCCGCAAGCTAGCATAGAGTATCTACAGGAACTATGTAAATCCAATGAATCTTTTTATATATTCACATACGACACTTTTGTTCCTTTACATCCAAACGATGACAATCAACATATGACTCAAAAATTTGAGAATATGTTGAAAATCTCTTTAGCGGAATTAAGAACCCAAATCTACTTTGATTTGGTGAATTTTTATTTATACACCAAACAATATCATTTGGCCCGTGAGGCAGTCAGTGAATGTCGTCGTAATTTAAATTTGGCCAAAGCAGAATACGAAATGTTAGGCAAGACTTCTGCTCAATTCGTGTTTTGTCACATTAACGAGCAAGAACTAGAAGGCTACTTATTGGCATGTGGCCTGAGTGCAAACACGAAGACATTAATGGAGAGATTCAATAGATCGGCTCTAACGCAGTTTAAGGTACGAGCATGAATAAACCTGTAAGCTATATACGCCTTTAGGCGATTCCATGAAACTCACCATCTCAAGTAAATATTTTTGTTTGTTCAAAACTTATTTATTATCCTGACGGACTAGAGGGGCTAGATCAATTTAGAATCACATGCACAGGTCTTTTACACCCCCTGTAATCTTTTTAATTGTGACAATTCGAATTACGAAATTGATATATTTGCTTTCTTTCGTGGTGGGTGAAAAATTGTTTCTCGGCTTTTGTTAAAAATATTGTTTTTCAGGATATTGTTGAGATTCTAAAATTGGATAACCGTGAAAGGGAAATACCGTTGGTTAATCGTCGTATCCTAGAATTGGATATAGAAGGTTCTATATCACAGGGTATCTTAAAGGAGTCACGTCAATTGGAAATGCAAGTTGCCGCGTTGAATGTGGTGCGTAGCACATTCGATGAAGGGAATATTTTTGCTAATACGGACTTTTTTGAAAAATACCAGCAATTAAATTGCTTTGCTACGCTTGTGGAGGTAACAAGCTCAAGTCTCTGGAAAGGCGAAGTAATGGCATTATGCTTTTCAATTTTAGTATAACCAAGACGTTTTACCTTATTCGTCGTTAACAGAGAAAAACAATTTAAAACAATTCCTTATCAATGTTATATTGAAATATCAGCAAAAACAATGGCTTTCTGAACTAAAACGTTTAAGTATATTTAGTACAAAAGAAATAGCAGACTTGGAGAAACAAATACAAGAAGAGGAAATACCAACGCCACCACTGGCCCTTTTACATGAATGGAAATTCAATTCAAAAAGTATAGCACATAACATAGCAATTATAATGTTTAGTAGAAAAATGATTTATTTCTTTTATTTATTCTTAGTGCTGCGTATAGAAATTGGTTCGTTAGAACGCCAACTAATTTCCTGTACGAATGCGAATACAGTACGAAAACTGTTAGTGAAATTGGCTTCGACAAATCCTGCTAAGCCTTTATGGACTGTAAATCCTAGTTGGGAGATAGCCACACCGCTTAAATCGGTGCTAATGTCTATGCAAAGAGGTTTTTTACAAGATTTTGCTTATGTTTTGCTGGGAAAGGCTCGTGAGCTTACTGCCAAAGGGGTAAATTTCTTGAAAATATTTTATACCAAACTATACCTTTGGTCAATTAGCGGCCGAGAAAAGTCATTTCCTTTAAAACGATGATAGAGAACGCCAACTTGCCAGTCATCAACATAAGAAACATCTTACATCGCTGAAAAGGGAAGCTATTGCCCTACTGAATGAGCGATGATGAATGGGAATGAGTAAAGTAACGAAGCAGCAGAATTTACTATCTGCAATCCATAAATAAGATATCACAATCAAGGATTTACTCTTTGATCGTCACTAGAAAACATCTTGAAACGAAAAGCATGTATTATAACAACTGAATATTGATCCATTCGCATTTAGTAATTGCGTATTCTCTCCAAATCGTTGCAAATAGCACTCGATAATTTTTCGTTTAATAATATATTTTATAGAGTCACAGAGCTATATCAAATAATTTTCGTCATCTCCATTTCCATTAGGATTTTATTGGTGCCGTTTCGTTGTTGAGCGTCTTAAAATCGGAAACACAACGTTCGGATATTTCTAATGCTTCTATAATATCAAAATTGGGCAAATTGGTTAACTGGGAAATATTGCTGATACAAATCACTCAATGCTTAGAGGAGTGGAATCGTAAACCATTGGATTTGCAATCTTTGGGCAATCGTTGCAAGCAATGCTTAAATTCATTACAAAGCAATGATAACATCATACCTAGAATAGAGGTTAGGAAGGCGTATAATATAATACAAACAAGTTTTTACATTCGTTATTCTTGCAGATAATTGAGAACTGCGCTGTAATGCTTTTAAATTTAAATGAATGGAATTCTTTAATGTTCCTGGATAAGCGTTTACCGCAATTGGAATTACCCATAACCTTTGCGGCTACTTTCCTCGATATGGAGAAAATGAAGGGCTCTAAAAAAATATGCCGCGATGCTTGGGACTTAGTCTTAACTATGTTCCTAAACAACAACGCAAAACGTGGGAACAGTGGTAACAATGCAGGTGGCGGCGGTAATCCATCTACTTCGGCTGTTGGAGGCGGCAGTGGTGGTAGTTCTAGGAATTCCCCTTGCCTGGCAATTTCAACTGGCTTACAACCATTCTTCAAGAAAATACGTCATCAAATGGTCTTCAATTTAGCAATATCATTGCTAAGTAAAATACATAATCTGCTAAAAGATGATCCTAATTATGATCTAAACGGTGAATATATGCAGTTATGGCCTACAACAGTAAATAAGTAAGTTTGGTTTTAAACGCTGCGTAACGGGTTATAAAATTCTACCTTGACTATTTAAATTTTTACAGTCCCTTATCGAGCTATAATATTAGAGCAGTAGGTGAGACTTTGCACTGGTTATTAACAGAAGCCCTAAAATACTATCCTCAAACTATTGCTTGGCTTAAAATGAAAGGTGATCTGGAGTTAGGTAACTTTTCATTTTGTTCTTGTCCAGCATACTCTTACTTATTAATCCATTAGCCATAGGAAACAATGAGGCTGCCATGAGATGTTATGTTAATGCGTTAATTACTGGCACTGAATATTGCACTGTACCATTGCAACGTAGTATAGCGGATGATTATATTATACGAAAAATGATTCGTTGCTCTTCCAACTTAGGTTGTCATATGCAAGCTACTGTATTATGTCAGGTAAATGAAAAAATATTATATGTTATCATCACAAGACTAAAGAAAAGCTTTCACCAGTTTCTCGAGGAAATTGATTACGCTATCGTTTTCAAAAACCTTACCGAGAAATCCTCAAACTTCACAGACGCTATGGATGCCTATTACAATTGTATTTGGGATACTACGCTTTTAGAATTTATAATTAATTTACACGCGAAGAAAGGAGAGCATAGTCGTAAATTAGAAGCTGTAAGTAATATTTATATATATAGATTAAAGATATTGTCCTACTTGTCTTAATTATAGGTTGCTATTATGGGTACTTTGGAGTTAAACGCTAACAATAATGAAGAGATCAAACGTGAGGCAGCCGCAATACGTAAATCGAGATTTTTACGAGCATTAGCTAAACAGTATTTGCTTTAGGATTTTTTTAATATGATTTTTTTATTTTTTGCAAAAAAAAGGAAAACGCTTATATAAATGTAAAAAAATCGAGGAAGGCTTTCAATCTTACTTTATTTAGGACGCTTTCCTTTGGTATTGCCTGCTGTTTTGGATTTTTTCTGCTGGACGTTTTTCTTGTCATCCGCTTTACGTTTTGGTGTTGCCCCACTTGCTGCGGGTATTACTTTGAAAAAACTATCTAAACGCCCTTGAGTTTGACTTGACTTGCATTTGAGAATTTTCTTTGCCCCGGAACGCACGCGATCTTCGTTAAACTGACGATCACCGCAAAGAAACTGCACTAAACCATCTTCATCAGGTTCGGACCACCTGAGCTAAAAAGAAGATATCAAAAAATTACTTTTATTGAAATGCTGGTAGGCTTGCATTTACTTCTAGCGACGAAGGGTCGGTTACTTCGGGATTTACAAATAATTCTCTAGCAATTTGATAATTCCAATCTTCTGGCACAGCATACTTTTTGCGATCAATTTTTTCCAAAATAGTTTCAATATCTTTATAGGAATTCATCAATTCTGTGGCTCTTTTGGGCCCGATGCCACGAATGCCATCACAGTAATCACACCCCAAAAGAATACATAAGTCAATGAATTCCCGGCTGGTTAATCCGAAACCATCTAATACTTTTGCGTAACTGAACTCCTTAACTGGCATTTTACGAGCCTCACTAAACGTTAAATGTCTTAATAAAATCCCAGAACCAAATGTTAGAGCATCCATATCCTCTGTTGCGGTAGCATAAACTTTACCAGCTTTCACCAAGGCAGCGCATTGTGCCTCTGCTTCACAAGGCGCCTCCACATAAGGAACTCCCATAAGTTTTAACAGCTCTTTGGCTTCGCTGGCATGTTCCTTGGTTACTTTTACCAAACGTCGATTAAATTTATCCATGTCGGCTTCATTGCCCGCCTCTGTTGCCTTTTCTAATGCCTTTTGAGCATCTTCGCGGCGCTCAGCGCGTTTAGCCAATTCGCCGGATTTTGAAATTGGTGGTTTACCATCGAATACGTAGACCGGCTTAATGCCATTTTCAAGCAAACGTATTGTGCGATAAAACATGCCCATTAAATGCGAGGTTGTTTCGCCGTCCACGTTTGTGAGTTGAGCACCCTCTGCGCGTACTGCTATCAGAAATTGATACAAACACATGGAGGCATCAATAGCTACCTTCCTACCGAAATAATTTTTGATGTCACTTTCTTTAATAGCGTGAGGACATATGTCGGCTATTAATTTCGAGAGTCCTAGAATTCCCATAATATCCAATTTTATTCAGGATTTTATAAAACACACAGGTTCATTTCTGATCGATGCACTCGATTCGCACACTAACTAGCGTTTTTTGTTTGTATTTGCCGCTTCAAGTATTTTTTATGCCAACTCTGTTTTAGTTCCAAAGAAACGTTTTAACAATCGGCACTATTTTTCCAATTTGTATTAAGAAAATGGAAAATAAACTACAATTGTATTTGTTTTTATTGCTAATTTACGAAAAATAATTTCGGTTCATTACTCTTGCAGCTTCATCTCAAAATTCGACAGCTAGTTTAGCGTATGGATATTAGCTAGATATGGAATCTAAAGTGTCATATTTTAGCTAGAAAGCAAAAGCTCTATCGAGCTTCATGTTCAAAGGAAAGGTAAAGTAAAAAATCGTCATAAATATACATATTTGATCAAAGTTATAGGCAGAGAAAGATCCCTTCATATAAGAAATTCCAAAATGTTGACAAAAATATTAAAAACAAATAGTTATTTTCGACGTTTTTTCGTTTCGACGTGGTGTTATAAAATTTGAAAAGGGATAAATGTTCACATCACTTTCAACAGCAATAGTTTTTCTACAAAGACCTGTGTGTGGCGACAAGCGCAATAGGCCGTGATTCATTGCTTTTGCTCCCTAACATTAAATCATTTATTTGTACTTTTGTTATATTTAAGTTTTTAAGTATACTCGCTTGCTTTAGTTTATATTTCATTTATTTAAATGTTTTTGATATTTTCATTTTGGAACTAATGATTTATTGTACCTAAGCTCGGAATTTTTATTTTAAAAATTTAGATTAACAGACATGAAAAACAAGAAGCAGAATTGAAAAGTATTCAAAACACAGACGACAAACTTTGAGATATAAGAAATTATGTTCGTTGTAAAAAGGGGATTTACAAACCGACATTTTGTGTTGGTTTCACCAATTTTATTTTGAAATCGTATATTTCATCTGCTCATTCAATTACTTTTCTTCCCCTTCTTTGCAGTATTTTTCTATGCGCCCACCGACGATTTCACAGCTATTCCGTCGTAAATGCAACACACGAGAAGCCTCTAGTTTCTGAAACGAAACCGAGCACAGAATTCTTCTTCGAAGCCCCCAATTCGTTAACTTCATATTAATATGTATTGATATTACT